TGTAATACAGTGGACCCCCGCTGTTTGGCGGCTGTGACTTTCGTGAAATCCAACTTTCGGCAAGTTTTTTCGGCAAAATTTAGCTTCGTGGTTCGTGATTTGGCAACCTTCTGGTATGTGTCTGCCCATCAGCATGCACACAAAGCCAGGAACCAGCACTATTCACATTCAGTGTGCCATTGTTTACCAGCATGTGACCATCACCCCACGGGTTCATACAACACATTTCATAATAATTCATTGTTTTTTGTGCTTGCAACTGCTAAATAAGCCAACATGGGCCCAAAGAAAGCTCCTATTGCCATCCTTTTGTTAAAGAAGTTGAGAAACACGATAGAATTCAAGAAAAAACTCATAGCAAAGTACAGTGGTCCCTCAATAATCGTAAGGCTCGATAGTCGTAATTTTCGAAAATCATAACGTTATTTTCATCAAAACATTGGCTCGTGAATCGTCCTTTGACTCGCAAATAGTCGTTCGTCTGGGGCGTGTACACACAGCCCTGAGCCGCCTCACACTCCATTCCCAGCCAGTGTGCCATTGTTTATCAGGGAGTGAGGATGATACCACGAGTTCATATGATACATTTCATAATATTCCATTTATTTTAGTGCTTGCAACTGCTAAATAAGTCACCATGGCTCCAAAGAAACCTTCTAGTGCCAGCCCTTTGGTAAAGAATGTGAGAAACACACATAATTTAAGAAAAAGTTTGTAGAAAAATACGAAGGTGGTGGTGGTGGTAGAGTGGAAGTAGTTGTGATAGTGGTTGATGGTGGTATAGGGTGGTAGTGATGGTGGTATAGGGTGGTAGTGATGGTGGTATAGGGTGGTAGTGATGGTGGTAGAAGGTGGTAGCAATGGTGGTAGCAGTTGTAATAGTGGTAGAAGATGGTAGCAGTTGCAATAGTGGTAGAAGGTGGTAGTGATGGTGGTAGACGGTGGTAGTGGTTGTGATGGTGGTAGAGGGGGCCTTCTTCAGTGATTCAGCGATACTACTAACTCCTCCAATGTTGTTTGAGTTGTATAGGGCTACAGAAAACACCACCACCTCAGCTGCTGCTTCACCACCATTATGGACGGCTTACTCTCAGTGGCCCTTATACACCCAACAACAACACAACACAACACCTTGTGACATACATAATGACTTATTTTATTCATTCTAGAGTATATTCCATGTTTCTATGTTATTAGTATTGTTTATTATGTATATTAGTTGAATTGTGATAGATAAATAAGCCGCAGAGTTGATATTAGTGTCATATCCTCCAACAATAAACTCGCCATCCTTCCCTCACACAACAAAGTCTTCAATAAAGGTAAGTGTGATGTTAAATAAGAACATAAGAACTTAAGAAAGGAGGAACACTGCAACAGGCCTGGTGGTCCATACTAGGCAGGTCCTTCACAAATCCAACCGACTAACAGAACAAATGCTACCCAAGCAATAAGCTCAGATGCAAGTCCAACCTAAATTTGAAACTACCAAATGTTTTAGCTTCGATCACCCTACTAGGCAGATCGTTTCATTCATGAACTACCCTATTACCAATGTTCATTTATATTTTATTAGTGCTTTACATTTATTTGGTATTCTTTTCTGCATGTAAATCTATATTTAAGATAGGGAAGTGACCCCTGAAGTGACCTAGAGTCACTATGGAGGGGGATTTCCCTTCCAAACAATAACCTCTCTTCCCACTCTCCTCCTCCCTGTCTTCCATTCAATCAACAACAGCCTTCAATAAAGGTAACTGTCATGTTGAATATTCATTCTTTTGTGCATGTAAATCTATCTTTAAGGTAAAAAAAAAAAAATTGCTATTGATACTTCTGGGTGTCTGGAACGAATTAATTGGATTTACATTATTTCTTATGGGGAAAATGGATTCGAAAATCGTCAATTTGATAACAGTCACACTTCCAGGAACAGATTAATTACGAAAAATGAGGGACCACTGTACTAAAGTATAGGAGGAAGAGAGAGGGGAGAATGTGCCTTCTGCAGTGATTCAGTGATTCTACAATACGTATGATACTAAAGCAGCAGGTATCGATAAAGGCTATAGCTCCAGCCAGCGATAAAGTGTAGAATTAACAGTGTAGTACGTAAGTTAAGCGAGTAAGCGACAGAAAAACATGAGAGTAACTCTACAATGTTGTTGGATGTGTATAATACCGCTGAACACACACCGCCCTGCTATCTTCCACCGCCCTAAACCTCTGCCAACATCTCCTTCATCAAACTAACTAATTAAATGAACATCTCCTCCAATGTAAGTGCAAATATAAAAGTGTAAGTATAAAAGTAAATATAAGTGTAAATGTAAAAGGACACCAATGGAAATATGTCACTCTTGAATTTTTTTGGGTTATCCTGGGTACTTTACACATATGCTGCTATGTATGATGATCTATGTATGTAACTGTATTTGTATATACCTGAATAAACTTACATATTTATAAATTAAAATGTAAATATTTCTGATTTTTAAATTAAAATGTAAATATTTCTTATTTATAAATTAAAATGTAAATATTTCTTATTTATAAATTACATACATTATTTAAGTGTGATGGTGGTCAAAGCCTCCACCACCACCAACAGCTTCTCTCAGTGGCGGCCCTTAAACCCAACAACAACACTTACACCATTTACTCCTCTCACACATTATATGACATATTTTATTCATTCTAGAGTATATATCATGTTTCTATGTTATTAATATTGTTTATGATGTCATATTAGATGAATTGTGATAGATAAATAAGCCGTAGAGATGATATTAGCGTCATATTGAAGAATAATAAACTCGCCTTCCTCTTGCCTCCTACCTACCTCCTACACCAACAAGAATCAATAAAGGTTAAGTGTTATGTTAAATGTTCATTTATCCATTTTATTAGTGCTTATATTTATCTGTCATTGTTTTCTGTATACAAATCTATATTTAAACTTTAAAAAAATTATTTTTTGTTAATACTTTTGGCTGTCTGAAACGGATTAATTGGGTTTCCATTATTTCTTATGGGAAAATAGATTCGCCAATTGTAAATTTCACCAGTCGGCAGACTCTCTGGAACGGATTAATCACGAAACTCAGGGATCCACTGTACTTCGTAAAATTAGTTTAACACGGTTTGCGAGAGGGGGAAAAATTCTGAGCGTGCGGTCGCCCATGAGACTGGTGGTGGGTTACACCACTGAGTCAATGGGGGAGACCTACCGCCATGCCCCGCCACCCTCACTCGCCCACCCGCACCACCCTCCCAGCCTTCAGTTCGGTTTATACATGTGTAGGACGAAGATACTCGGGAACCTCACTGTGTTTTACATTTTTTTTTTTTTCAACAAGTCGGCCGTCTCCCACCGAGGCAGGGTGACCCAAAAAAGAAAGAAAATCCCCAAAAAGAAAATACTTTCATCATCATTCAACACTTTCACCACACTCACACATTATCACTGCTTTTGCAGAGGTGCTCAGAATACAACAGCTTAGAAGCATATACGTATAAAGATACACAACATATCCCTCCAAACTGCCAATATCCCAAACCCCTCCTTTAAAGTGCAGGCATTGTACTTCCCATTTCCAGGACTCAAGTCTTTACATACGTATTTTAATTGCCATATCTTAAATCTGCCAGGCAATCATGGCACCCAGTAGGCATATACAAGTGTTGCTGAAAGCGGCAAGAAAAGGTTTAAGCATTTGTCTCAGAATTAACGAAGAAAACAGATATATTAGACAAGAGATAACCAGTGGCTGTAATGTAGCATCACTGTGCACATAAAATGAGGTAAATATAAGTGTGTGATTGACTTACTGAATGACTTACTGACATGACTGAATTACTTACTAACTTGACTGAATGACATACTGACTTGACTGAATGACTTACTGACTTGACTGAATGATTTACTGGCTTGACTGACTTACTGAATGACTTAGACTTTTTCACTGAAGAGGACCCTGAAATGGTGTCTAGAGCAGCTGATAACTTACCATCAGTTGTATAATGTATTGCAGGGTAAAATAGAACAAAAATTCATTACAGAATTTATGCACACTCCAGTACAACCATCGACTTCAGTACCAGAACCTCTACCATCCACAGCCCAGTAGGGCCACAGCATACATTCCACAACAGGTATAGGGTCGACAGGGTCAGCCTCAAACCCTTCAAAATCTTTGTCGAGGACACATTCTGGCCACAATTTTCTCCAAGCAGAGTTAAAAGTCCTGGAAGTCACTTCCTGCCAAGCCTTACCTATAAGGCTTATGCAATGGAGGATACTGAAGTGATTCCTCCAGAACTCTCTCAGGGTCAATTTTACAATTGCTTTCTTGAATTCTTTCATGTTTCTCACTTTCTTTACCAAAGGGCTGGCACTAGGAACTTTGTTTGGGCCTGTGGTGGCTTATTTCAGTTGCAATCAATAAACAAGCACAAAAATTGTGAAATGTTTTGGATGAATGCTCACTGAATCAGCGACAGAGCCAGATTGAGGTGGCGTCCTGGCGGGCGGATGCGTCTGATACGAACGATTCCCGGGACAAGGTATGAAATCCGGAGCAAAATTTCGCCCCCAAAAGAGTGTTCTAAATCTGAAACGTCCGATATCTGGTGTGTGCGAAATCTGGGGTTCCACTGTATAGCAACGTCACAGTTACTGTAATGATTTTCTTTTACTGGTTTATTTTTGTATTTCATTTTTTACTTTACTTTTTATGCTTTCAGCACTGTATTTTATACTGTAAGGTTTAGGAGAAACAATGCGTACAACACAAACGGTCGTTTATCTCCAAGAACATTTGCATATGAAACAATGTGTTCAAATTCCCTTCGAATGTATGAAATTGAAAACATTCATATGCATGAAGAGAAAAGTACAAAATAACTTAGGCTAAGCTGTAAACAATGTAAATCAAATTACCTAAATTCAAAAAATAAAATTACAAAAATAGACTATACATCTGGCAGCCCTGCTCCCATTACTATTACTAAAGTTAAAGAGAAACTTTCATTTTTCTCTTTAGGTCACCCTGCCTTGGTGGAATATGGCCATTTTGTTGAAAAAAAAAAAAAAAATTAGTGTATGTATAATTTACCTTCTCATTTTCAGCTATTTTAAACTGATCCTTTTCTTCTTTTGTTACATTTTCAAATTCTGAAGAAGCTTTAGTGAAAGCATCCTTACTGCTTGCAATGTCTTCCTTAATCTTTTGAAACTGTTGGAAAGAAAAAAATGCAGAATTACTTTTTTATCTTCTGTTTCACCAAAGTAAGGTTAACTCAAGATAGTAAATACAGTCACCATCACTTACTGTCCAAGTGCTTTTAGAAAATAGGAAAGTCATCCCTGTAAATGAAAAGGTTAGGTTAGGTAGGAATGTAACTTTACCATACCTTTCAACCCCATGGACATAAGTAAGGGTATGGTTAAGAAATTTGCTTACAATTACATGTATATAGACTGACATTTTGGGAAAGGAACTTCAAAATAATGTTTGCCCTCAAAAATAAAGCAGAAAAACATACAACCCTACGATTCCAGAATTATAAAATATAAATTAAGAAGAAAAACTGAATAAATACAGTGAAACCTCTCAACAAATTTCAGCAATTTCTGGAGAAAAAAAAAAAAAAAAGAGCCTGATACACATTGGAATCATCAGATAGAATGGAACAAATCTGTAATTCATATTGTTTTCTGCAGTGATAATGTCCGGTTGTTTTTTGCAGTATCGGATCAAGTCCGATGGCTGGTACCATATATGGGTGTGAAGCATGGGTTGTAAATGTTGCAGCGAGGAGGTGGCTGGAGGCAGTGGAGACATCGTGTTTGAGGGCAATGTGTAGTGTAAATATTATGCAAAGAATTTGTAGTATGGAATTTAGGAGGATGTGTCAAGTTATTAAAATTATTACTCAGAGGGCTGAAGAGGGGCTGTTGAGGCGGCTTTGGTCATTTAGAGAGAATGGAACAAATTAGAATGACTTGAAGAGCATATAAATCTGTTGGGGAAGGAAGGCGGGGTAGGGGCCATCCTCGAAAAGGTTGGAGGGAGGGGGTAAAAGGAAGTTTCGTGGGAGAGGGGCTTGGACTTCCAGCAAGCATGTGTGAGCGTGTTAGATAGGAGTGAACGGAGATGAATGGTTTTTGGAACCAGACGAGCTGCTGAAGTATGAGCAGGGTAACATTTTGTGAAGGAATTCAGGGAAACTAGTTGGCTGGACTTGAGTCCTGGAAATGGTAAGTACAATGCATGCACTTTAACCCTTAAACTGTCCAAACGTAGATCTACGTTTGCACGCGTAGCGCTCCAAACGTAGATCAACGTTTTATTTTTCATTACTTCAAATTTGGCACAATAGGCTCGAGTCGCCTAGACATGAAAGAATGGGTCTGTACACTTAGTGAGTGCAGTATTAAAAAAATATGGAACCACTTAGTACCTTGTGGGAGCACCAGTTCAATTGAGCACCAGCTAGAGCAAACAGCATGGCAAACACCATGGATTCACTGAAGCCATGTCACACTAATACTCCCATTTTAAGAGGAAAGTAAAAATAGGTTAGATAAATACATGAGTGTCAGTGGGTGTGAGCTAAACCCGACTAGCTTGTGCTAGTAGATCTGATGTCATGCTCCTTCCTTCAATGGATGTGACCTGACTAGGTGGGTCATTGGTCTAAGCTTGGGAGGGGGACATGGACCTGCCTTGTATTCGGCAGGCTGGCCAGCTTGCTTTGGCTGTCTCTCTGTCTATATCTCTGTCTCGCATGTACACATGAGTATAGTTATTATCGTGTAAATTACCTAGGATAACCCAAAAATTCCAGGCAAAGATAGACATGTTTGTGTGTAACAATGATAAATACAGCAAGGGTTAGCCGGAGCAGGGGGCATTTATCAAATGTCACTGGGCTGTCAACAGTATAAGGATGCCTTTCATAACACCATGCTTCAAGGTATATGCCAGGGTATCTAAAACATTGCTGGAACCTATAAATACTTTGTATATATTTCTAGACAATAGTAAATAACCCGAGCAGGTGTAAATGTTCACCTGTCAATGTGATTTTGACTATTTGGGTACTATTTCAGTACCTAATGTTAGTGAGATTGGCTATGAAATTACAAGAACTATTATAAATTGTAATTATCAAAACATAAAAAATATATAAATTAAAATAAAAACAAGAAAAAAAGGTATATTGGCAGCACTTCTGCAAGGGGCAGGAGTCGATGTTGCCATCAGGTGAGCATCCAGAGCCAACTTCACGGTCTTATATATCGGTAAGTACTGACCCTAAATATTCTTTTAATCCTATAACATGTAGAAAAATGTGCTCTTCATTTTAAGAGAGAGAGAGAAAAAAAAAGATTTTTTTTATTTTTCAAAATATTCGGAACGCCACGCGAGTGAAAGTAGATCTACGTTTGGACAGCTTAAGGGTTAAAGGAGGGGTTTAGGATATTGGTAGTTTGGAGGGATGTCTAAACTGTCATATCTGAGTGCCTCTGCAAAGACATTGATCATGTATGAGTGATGATGAAAGTGTTGAATGATGATGAAAGTTTTTCTTTCTTTTTGGGTCACCATGCCTTGGTGGGAAATGACCACAGTGTTAAAAAAGAAAAAAAAAAAATACATAGGGTCTTCATGGAGAAGTGAAGAATCCTTCCCCCTTAAACCATGGGTGTCATAAGAGGTGACTAAAATGTCGGGAGCAAGGGGCTAGTAACTCCTTCTCCAGGATAAATTACTAAATGTAAAAAGAAAAGGTTTTGTTTCTTCTTTCTCAGGTCATGCTCTAAAAAAGAATGCTGATGACAGTTTTTTTTTTTTCACTGAAATGTTGACTGTATTCATTTACTTCAATAAATGTCCTAACATACTGCAAGTCTTTCCCACTTACTCAGAAGTAAAATTACATAATCATTTATACAAATTGCAAATAAAATAATACCTTTGCTCCTCCTGAAATTTATTTTCCTTAGTTAAATTTATGACAGTTTATACACAAATAACCCACACAAAGAAGAGAGGAGCCTACGACGACGTTTCGGTCCGACCTGGACCATTTACAAAGTCACACTAACAAAAAGGAGAGAAGGAGGGAATATATGTAGGCAGGAGTAGGTATAACAGGGTGGATAGGGGGGCAATGTGGCAGATGTTGCAAGTGTATGGTGTAGGAGGTAGGTTACTGAAAGCAGTGAAGAGTTTTTACGAGGATAGTGAGGCTCAAGTTAGAGTATGTAGGAAAGAGGGAAATTTTTTCCCAGTAAAAGTAGGCCTTAGACAAGGATGTGTGATGTCACCGTGGTTGTTTAATATATTTATAGATGGGGTTGTAAGAGAAGTAAATGCGAGGGTCTTGGCAAGAGGCGTGGAGTTAAAAGATAAAGAATCACACACAAAGTGGGAGTTGTCACAGCTGCTCTTTGCTGATGACACTGTGCTCTTGGGAGATTCTGAAGAGAAGTTGCAGAGATTGGTGGATGAATTTGGTAGGGTGTGCAAAAAGAGAAAATTAAGGTGAATACAGGAAAGAGTAAGGTTATGAGGATAACAAAAAGATTAGGTGATGAAAGATTGGATATCAGATTGGAGGGAGAGAGTATGGAGGAGGTGAACGTATTCAGATATTTGGGAGTGGACGTGTCAGTGGATGGGTCTATGAAAGATGAGGTGAATCATAGAATTGATGAGGGAAAAAAGAGTGAGTGGTGCACTTAGGAGTCTGTGGAGACAAGAACTTTGTCCTTGGAGGCAAAGAGGGGAATGTATGAGAGTATAGTTTTACCAACGCTCTTATATGGGTGTGAAGCGTGGGTGATGAATGTTGCAGCGAGGAGAAGGCTGGAGCAGTGGAGATGTCATGTCTGAGGGCAATGTGTGGTGTGAATATAATGCAGAGAATTCGTAGTTTGGAAGTTAGGAGGAGGTGCGGGATTACCAAAACTGTTGTCCAGAGGGCTGAGGAAGGGTTGTTGAGGTGGTTCGGACATGTAGAGAGAATGGAGCGAAACAGAATGACTTCAAGAGTGTATCAGTCTGTAGTGGAAGGAAGGCGGGGTAGGGGTCGGCCTAGGAAAGGTTGGAGGGAGGGGGGTAAAGGAGGTTTTGTGTGCGAGGGGCTTGGACTTCCAGCAGGCATGCATGAGCGTGTTTGATAGGAGTGAATGGAGACAAATGGTTTTTAATACTTGACGTGCTGTTGGAGTGTGAGCAAAGTAATATTTATGAAGGGATTCAGGGAAACCGGCAGGCCGGACTCGAGTCCTGGAGATGGGAAGTACAGTGCCTGCACTCTGAAGGAGGGGTGTTAATGTTGCAGTTTAAAAACTGTAGTGTAAAGCACCCTTCTGGCAAGACAGTGATGGAGTGAATGATGGTGAAAGTTTTTCTTTTTCGGGCCACCCTGCCTTGGTGGGAATCGGCAGTGTGATAATAAAAAAAAAAAAAAAAAAAGGAGTAGGTAGTGGTAGTAGTGGAGGTAAAAGGTAGTAGTAGTGGGGAAATTAGTAAGGAGGAGGAGCCAGTCAGGTACTAAGAAAGAGGAGCACTACAAGGGAGCTAGGTGCCCACAGAGGGTAAGAGCAAGAACACAGGTGGAAGGGGGGGAGGAATAAAATAAATAAATAACTAATGAAGGAACAAATAACCAAGGCAGAAGAAAGAGAACCCAAACGAGAAAAAGGAAAGGGGAAGAGAGAAGAAGAATAAAAGGAAGAATCAGGTTAAATCACAGGTGTTCTGAAGTTTGGAGCATTTAACAACGTAGTGGGAAAGGAAGGCATCTACAGAGACGAAGCCAGGACTAAGATTCATACAAGGAAAGTTGTGTATTAGGGAGGATTCAACCAGACAGCGACTGTTGTAGTTGGAAGTAGGGAAGACAGTTTTAGCAGAAGACCAGTCGATAGGATGACTGTGATCTCTGATGTAACAGAAAAGAGCATTGTTAGTGTCAGCAAGCCTAACACTACTTTTGTGCTCCCTATGTCTGTCAGAAAGAGAATAGCCAGTTTCTCCAAAGTACTGAAGAAGACACCAGGAGCATCTGTAGAAGGAGGAGAGGTATGAACAAGATTAGTGCAAAGAGTGTTAGTCTGGCAGAAAGTACGCTTGATGTCTATGGAACAGAGAGAGTTGTTGAGATTAGAAAGGCCGGAAATGTAGGGAAGACAGAGGACAGAAGAGTTCCCAGGAGTAGAGAGATTGGGAGAGAAGAAATTATGTTTAGCACATGAAAAGGCAGAGCCTATGAAATGGGAAGGGTAGCCAAGATGGGAAAATGAATTATGAAGAATGGAAATTTCTGATTGAAGGAACTAAGGATCACAAATGTGGAGAGCATGGAGAAAGAGGGAGATAAGAACACTTTTCATGACAGAGGAAGCATGATAAGAAAAGTAGTGAATGTACATGCCACTCTGCATAGGCTTGCAGTAAACGGAAAAAGCAAAACCTGTATTTGAGCGGTAGACATGGACATCAAGGAAAGGAAGCAAGGAATTAGATACCCATTCAGCTTTAAACTTAAAGGAAGGGGCAAGATTATTAAGAGCAACAAGAAATGGCTGGAAGAGACTAGAGTCATGGGGCCACAAAGCAAAGATGTCATCTACATAGCAGAGCCAGAGTGAAGGGCGCACTTTGTAAATGGTCCAAGTCAAACCGAAATGTCGTTGTAAGCTTCTGTCTTCTTTGTGCGGGTTATTTGTGTATCGTTCCAGTCACGGTATTGTGCCTTTTTATTTATGAGAGCTTATCTACTGCATAGTTAGATGTTAAAATGTGCAGGTACTTACATTGTCCTGTGCTTCCTTTAACACAGTTTCTTGCTGTCTGATATCCTCCTCTAACTGACATACATCTGTTGGTGGGGATGGCTTCTGATTCCTTAAGTCTGCCTGCTTACAGTGCAACTTGTCCATTGCTTGCTGTTCAGTGATACACATGCACATTATTAATTATGTAACCAACATTTTCCAGTTTCTAAGTTAACTGACAAAGTGGATCTTGTCCTGCATTTCTGAAATCTGTTAAGTTGAAAGTTTACTGCACTATATTTATAAATTAGGTATTGCAGATTCAATTGTTGCTATAAGATCAAGACCAAAGAAAACCAAGAGATAAAAAAAACAAACCTTAATTGAAAGTGACTTTTTTCTTGATGCATTACATTCATTTTTTAGTTCACTAATCTCTGCTCGCATATCTATCATTTTCTGATGACATGCTTTCAAATTTTCTTTTGAATGTTCCAATTCAGCTTGTGTTTCTCTGTAGAAGAAAAAAAAAAGTCTCTACAGATATAACAAAACACTATACATGGTACATACATGTATGAAAGTAAGAGGAAGGAAATGTGATGCATTAGTTTATGTTTTCATTCCAATATACCAGAAATGAGTTTTATTTTTTTTCAATGAACTGGCCACATCCCACCTAGGCAGGGTGACCTACAAAGAAACACTCAAATTTTTCTTTTTAAATTTAGCAATTCATAAAGGAGAAGGGGTTACTAGCCCCTTGCTCCAGAAAGAATTTTAGAGTAGCAATAATGTTGAAGGATAAGCTTTGGCAGGAAAAGAGGGACTATAAATGTATTAATTCAAGGATTATGTGGAGTAAAATAAAGATTGGATGTGAAAAGTGGGTTATAATAAGCGTGTATGCACCTGGAGAAGAGAGAAGTGTAGAGGAGAGAGAGAGATTTGGGAAATGTTGAGTGAATGCGTGGGGAGTTTTGAATCAAGTGTGAGAGTAAGGTGGTTGGGGATTTCAATGCTAAAGGGGGGTTAAAAATGTTATGGAGGGAGTAGTAGGAAAATTTTGGGGTTTTTGCCAGGGGTAAATGTAAATGGGGAGCCTTTAATTGAGCTATGTGTAGAAAAAAATTTTGGGTAATAAGTAATACATATTTTATGAAAAAGAGGATAAATAATATACAAGGTATGATGTACCCACGTAATGAAAGTAGTTTATTAGATTATGTATTGGTGGAAAAAAGGGTTGATGGGTAGGTCCAGGATGTACATGTTTATAGGGGGGCAACTGATATATCGGATCATTTTTTTAGTTGTAGCTACAGTTAGAGTAAGAGGTAGATGGGAAAAGAGGAAGGGGGCAACAACAAGTAAGAGGGAGGTAAAAAGTGTATAAACTAAGGGAGGAGGAAGTTCGGGTGAGATATAAGCGACTATTGGCGGAAAGGGGGGGATAGTGCAAAAATGAGTAATGGGGGGTTGAAGAGGGTTGGAATAGTTTTAAAAATGCTGTATTAGAATGTGGGGCAGAAGTTTGTGGTTATAGGAGGGTGGGTGCAGGAGGAAAGAGGAGTGATTGGTGGAATGATGAAGTAAAGGGTGTGATAAAAGAGAAAAAGGTAGCTTATGAGAGGTTTTTACAAAGCAGAAGTGTTATAAGAAGAGCAGAATATATGGAGAGTAAAAGAAAAGGGAAAAGAGTGGTGAGAAAGTGCAAAAGGAGAGCAGATGATAGAGTGGGAGAGGCACTGTCAAGAAATTTTAATGAAATAAGAAAAAAATTTTGGAGTGGGTTAAAACAATTAAGAAAGCCAAGGGAAAATATGGTTTTTGTCAGTTAAAAACAAGTAGGGGAGTTAGTAAGGGGGAGATGGAGGTATTAGGTAATGGCGAGAAATTTTGGGGAACTTTTAAATGTTAAGGGAAGAAACAGAGGCAGAAATTTCATGCACTGGTCAGGGGGGATACCATTTTTTTGGATGAAAGAGCAGAATGTAAGTGGGGGGGAGGTAGGGAGGCATTACATAAAATGAAAGGGGGTAAAGCACTGGAACTGTTTGGATCATGACGAAAATTTTAAAACAGGGGGGGATATAGTGTTGGAGTGGTTGGTACTTTGTTCAAAAAATGTTGAAAGAGGGGAAGGTACCTGGGGGTTTTGGCGGAGACATGTATAGTCCCCTTTTATATAAAGGGAAAGGGGAAAAAGACTGTAAAAATTATGGGGAATAAGCTTACTGAGTATACCGGGAAAAAGTGTACGGAGGGTTAAAATTTTAAGAATTAGGGGTAAGACAATGTAGGTTGGGGTGAGCAAGGAGGTTCAGAGGGGGTAGGGGATGTGTAGATAAAAGTTTTTACTTTGAAGCTATATTGAACAGTTTAGATAAAGGTAGGGGAAGTTTTTATTTCATTTTTGGATTTTTGAAAAGGCATATGTAAATGGAGAGGACAATGTGGCAGATGTTGCAAGTATATGGAATAGGTGGTAAGTTATAAAAGCTGTAAAAAGTTTTTTTGAGGGTAGTGAGGGTCAGGTTAGGGTGTGTAGAAGAGGGGAGACTATTTCCCCGGGAAAAGTAGGTCTTAGACAGGGATGTTAATGTCCCAGGTTGTTTAATATATTTATAGATGGGGTTGTAAAGGAAGTAAATGAGGAGAGGGGTGGGATTAAATTTTGGGGAATCAAATTCAAAATGGGAATTGACACAGTTACTTTTTGCTGATGATACTGTGCTTATGGGAGATTCTAAAGAAAAATTGCAAAGGTTAGTGGATGAGTTTGGGAATGTGTGTAAAGGTAGAAAGCTGAAAGTGAACATAGAAAAAGAGTAAGGTGATGAGGGTGTCAAATGATTTAGATAAAGAAAAATTGGATATCAAATTGGGGAGGAGGAGTATGGAAGAAGTAATTGTTTTCAGATACTTGGGAGTTGACGTGTCGGCGGATGGATTTATGAAGGATGAGGTTAATCATAGGAATTGATGAGGGAAAAAAGGTGAGTGGTGCGTTGAGGTATATGTGGAGTCAAAAACGTTATCTATGGAGGCAAAGAAGGGAAAGTATGAAAATATAGTAGTACCAACACTTTTATATGGGTGTGAAGCTTGGGTGGTAAATGCAGCAGCGAGGAGACGGTTAGAGGCAGTGGAGATGTCCTGTTTAAGGGCAATGTGTGGTGTAAATATTATGCAGAAAATTCGGAGTGTGGAAATTAGGAGAAGGTGTGGAGTTAATAAAAGTATTAGTCAGAGGGCAGAAGAGGGGTTGTTGAGGTGGTTTGGTCATTTAGAGAGAATGGATCAAAGTAGAATGACATGGAAAGCATATAAATCTATAGGGGAAGGAAGGCGGGGTAGGGGTCGTCCTCGAAAGGGTTGGAGAGAGGGGGTAAAGGAGGTTTTGTGGGCGAGGGGCTTGGACTTCCAGCAAGCGTGCGTGAGCGTGTTAGATAGGAGTGAATGGAGACGAATGGTACTTGGGACCCGACGATCTGTTGGAGTGTGAGCAGGGTAATATTTAGTGAAGGGATTCAGGGAAACCGGTTATTTTCATATAGTCGGACTTGAGTCCTGGAAATGGGAAGTACAATGCCTGCACTTTAAAGGAGGGGTTTGGGATATTGGCAGTTTGGAGGGATATGTTGTGTATCTTTATATGTGTATGCTTCTAGACTGTTGTATTCTGAGCACCTCTGCAAAAACAGTGATAATGTGCGAGTGTGGTGAAAGTGTTGAATGATGATGAAAGTATTTTCTTTTTGGGGATTTTCTTTCTTTTTTGGGTCACCCTGCCTCTGTGGGAGACGGCCGACTTGTTGAAAAAAAAAAAAAAAAAAAAAAATATATACAATATTATATATATATATATATATTATATATATATATATATATATATATATATATATATATATATATATATATATATATATATATATATATATATAATAAAAAGATAGAGAAACTCATATACATGTGGACTGTTATCTATTAATGGTTCCAGGGATCATCACCCCTTCAACTCTGTCAGAGACAGATAGACATGCTTATGTGTAACAGTGAGAACAAATACAGAAACATATGCCAAGGTTCACTGGGAGCCATGCACATTCAGCAATTCTGAGTGACTGCACCATCAGCAGTGTAGAGTGACTTTTGTCTGATACCGTGCTGGGGAGTTTCATACTCCAGCACTTCTAAAAACATTGCCGAGACCTACAAATAATTCGTATAGGAGGCCCTCCACATTTGAGAGGGTTAGGGGATCAAGAACCTCGCGAATCTTGAAAATTCGCGAATGTTTGGTGTGCAAATATGATGTAGGGAAATACAATAATACTGTACTGCAACTTTTGCGAGTGTTTTGATGCGCAAATATATTGTGGGAAATATAATAACATTTACTCAGCCTAACAATACTGCTTCCTTAACCTATTGAACTGTATGAATCATACAACACATGTAAACATCATAAAATATTGTAGTATATACATGTTAAGGTTTAATAACAAATAATGAACAAACAAAACACTCACCACTCATAAGGTTAGGCAGATGAACTCTAACGACTTGTGATGATGATGACAATGACGACGATGGTGATGATAGTCAGCCATGCAGTTACTGATGACAGATGAATGGAGATGATTATATGGAGTGTAACTGCATGGCATGATGAGGCTAGTGTGTGGATTCTAACTCTTCACTGCCAGTGTTACTGTCAACATAGCTAGAGTCAGATTCTGCCACGGGCTGAGGTTCAGGTGAGGCAGTAGGGGTAGCGGCAGGCTTCCTTTTGAAGAACATTGTGATGGGCAACTGAGACCATTTCCTCTTCATATCTACAGAGATTTGTAGGGAATTATGCTCCTATCAATGTTGCTCGTCGCATTCAAAGCCCTCAACATCGATGGGTCTATGTAGTAAAAAAATTGTTTGAATTGGACTGTCATTCTCATCGCTTGTCCTCGTTTTTCAAGGGTGAGGGCTTGAGGTTGATTGGCCTCAGCAACACTCTCCTCTTCATCCTCATTCTCTGCCTGCACAATCTCCAACAACTCTTCATCATTTAGGCCCAGTGCATGTTCTTCAACCAGTTCTCTCACCTCACCCTCCTGCATGTCCTCGAACCCTTCACCACCAACTAGCCTTGCTAACTCCACAGTCTGAGTGAGTGGCAGACTGCCAGTTGAGGGGGATAAGAGGGAAGGTAGTAGGGATGCAGCGAAATGAGTTTCCCTGTACTTTCTTCCCGTGCGGGCATTTGCGAATGTTTGAAGCTTGCTAAAGTGGAACTCGCAAAAGTGGAGGCCTAGCTGTATATATTTCTAGATACAGTGGTACCTTGACTAACGAGTTTAAATTGTTCCATGACCCAGCTCATAACTCGATCTGCTCGTACAGTGGTCCCTCGATAATAGTCGGGCTCGATAGTTGTCCTTTTCGGAAATCGTGGCGTAATTTTAGTCCAAACATTGGCTCACAAATGGTCGGTTGACTCGCTAATCGTCATTC